GGTCAATCACAACGCACTGGATAGCTGGCTAATCAGAGCACACCTCGCTTTTCAGACCGATTAGTTTTGTAAAAATCGACGCGTTTCAAAAAGGCGGGGCATAGAGGAGAAACAATAATGTACAGTATGTGGAAAATAATGTGTTTTTTTTACTTTAAACCGCATAAACACATTTCATTACACCAAATACACAAAATAATGTTCTTTTTAGCAGCATCATATGACCCCTTTAAACATATCTTAATATCCTTTTCAATTCTGGCTCTTAATAAACTTTTATTTTGAAATCTTAATTTTTAAGGCCCTATATGCTTCAATCCCAGAGATATGGGGTTCCCAATGTGACTCAGTGTCCAACTTGAATTGTACCCATTTTCAATGGTTCTAAACCAAAAGTGATTTTGGGTGTGAAAAGTACTTATCCAGTCACGATTGTTAACACTGCAAATATGCAAAATAAAATAAAAATAAAATTATCCAGGGTTTAGGAATGTATAGTGTGACACGTCAGAGTATGAATAACCAGGATTCATTTTTAACTCTGGGTCTGAGTATAAAACAAAATAAGATTACACGGGATCCTATTTACCTGGGGGTTAGAATTACCCAGGGTTAACTATTTCAAGTGTGAAAGACCTTAAATGTTTCAAATTTTGAGGTACTATCAGTGATTCTGCTAAATATGCCCTTTAGCAGTGCTTGATACTACTTGATCTAAGACTATGCTTCACATGTTATAACAAGAGGAAATTCTATTGCTTTAACAATCCAGTTGAGGCAAATCTTGGTTTATTGATGTGAATACAATGTGTGAGGAGAGCAACCACGTGCCTCAACTTGACCATTTTTAGCGTGCAGACAGGTCTGTTCTATTAAGTTGTTTTGATAGAGAGAAACAAGAAACAAGATAGCATTATTTATCCTTCAGACATTCCCCTTTAAATAAATGCGTATGAACTATATGCAAAGTGACCCAAGTTTGGTTAACCCTATTTGGAAAATAGTTAATATTCAACAATTTGGACATGTAGCCACATTGAGTTCCCCATATCTATGCGATTTAATCATATAAGGAATTTGGAAAACAAACTTAAAGTGCTTTGTCCCATTTTTGAACCATCACCACTGGCATGCAATTCCACAAAGCCTGCTAAAATCAACAGATGTTCCTAATAGACCGACCAATCTCTGTGTAAGAATAACGTAATGACGCTGCCATTTTCTATAAGTCATTTTTCTAAAGTTCCTTTATTTGGCTCTGAATCTCAGGTGAAAAATTGTCATATTGACCCCTCTCTACAAAATATTGGATTACTCCGTAAATACACATCCATGACCTTTAATATTTTGGCTTTCAACATTATTTATGTTTGTCTTTCTTCAGAAAAAGTATTAACAAAGTCAAAAATTTTAGCTGGGGAAGTTTCTGAGATTTGGTTGATTTGATACCAAATGACCCATATACTTTTGGATAGCTAAAGTCTCTTAGTAGATGTTAGAGAAACTGGTGTTTCTGGTGTAACAGGAAATGCAAGCTTCATCGCTGCTAATGTTATGTCCGAAATGACCGGCATTTGAAGATGTGTGGATTTATTTAATTCATTCAGAGCCATACCCTTTTAGAATACTATATAATTTGCTTAAAACAAGTCTTACTATTATGTTGTTAAAAATGTGCTGTTGTGCTCAGGAGTGTCATGATGTACAGTGCCGTGAAAAGGTTTTTGCCCCCTTCCTGTTTTTTAAATTTTTTGCATATTTGTCCCACTTAAAAGATTCAGATCACCAAACCAATTTTAATATTACGCAAAGATAATGCCACACACCTTCCAAAAAGTTCAACTTTTGTCTCATCAGTCCACAGAATATTTGCCCAAAAGTCTTGGGGATAAACAAGATATTTTTTGGCAAATGTGAGACAAGCCTTTGTGTTCTTTTTGGTCAGCAATGGCTTTTGCCTTGGAACTCTCCCATGGATGCCGTTTTTGCCCAGTCTCTTTCTTATTGTTGAATCATGTAAAATGACCTTAATTGAGGCAAGTGAGGCCTGCAGTTCTTTAGATGTTGTTCGGTGTTCTTTTATGACCTCCTGGATGAGTCGTCGTTGCGCTCTTGGAGTAATTTTGGTAGGCTGGCCATTCCTGGGAAGGTTCACCACTGTTCCAAGTTTTCTCCAGTTGTGGTTAATGGCTCTGACTGTGGTTCGCTGGAGTCCCAAAGCCTTAGAAATGGCTTCATAACCCTTTCCAGACTGATACATGTCAACTATTTTGTTTCTCATCTGTTCTTGAATTTCTTTAGATCGCGGCATGATGTGTTGCTCTTTAAGCATGCTTCACTTTGTCAGACAGGTTCTATTTAAGTGATTTCTTGATTCAACAGGTCTGGCAGTAATCAGGCCTGCGTGTGGCTAGTGAAATTTAACTCCACTTTCTAAAATAATGTGGTTAATCACAGTTCTTTCATGATTTAAGAGGAGGGGCAAATAATTTTTCACGTAGGGAGGTAGGTTTGGACAGCTTTTTTCCCTTAATAAATGAAATCATAATTTCAAAACTGCAGTTTGTATTTACTCAGGTTATCTTTGTGTAATATTAAAATGTGTTTGATGATCTGAATCTTTTAAGTGTGACAAATATGCAAACAATTAAAAAAACAGGAAGGGGGCAAAAACTTTTTCACACCACTGTATAAGGTTGGGAAAGTATCCATAAATTAATGTAAGGGATTCAACTTACTGTAAAGCACATAAATGTAAAAAAATAAATAAAAAATAAAATAAATGCACAGTTTGTTCTCTCTCCTGTTTCTACAAATTCAAAATGGTTAAATTTGATTTAAGCAAATAATAATTAAATATATTTTAGCTTGGGGTCATTTTAGTTAATTAAGTTCAGAGTCTTGACCTACTGTATTCAACCTACTGAAATTAAACCTACTGTACACAGGTCTTGGACCGGTTTGGACTCGGATTAGCTGATCTTCACTACAACACGTTTTTTTTTTTTTTTTTTTTGATGAAC